ATGAATTTCTGTATGTTTGTTTTTAGTAGGCTCCCATGGAGCCCAACATGGGCCTTGAACTCAAGGCCCTGAAATCAAGACCTGAGCTGAGATCAAGAGTCAGATGCTGAACCAACTGAGCCACCCAGGTGCTCCAAATTTCTGCATGTTTATTAACTTACCAGTAGAGTGCCCCTCCGGGGCAGGGGAGCCTCCATGAGGATGATGGCTCTTCGAGATACTTGACCTAAGGAGATGAATCAATTACTCAAAAGTGCATGGATGAGTTAATTGACTACTTGAATTAGCTTAGAACATTCCAGTACTTTAGATGCATTCCCCCATAAAATGTGATGCAATCTCCTTAAACTATAAACTCATGTGGGTTTGTCTGTGTGTTCTGTGTCTCTGGTGTCTACAGCAGTAACTCGTAGAGTCAGCCAATTAATATACATTGAATAAATGGGTGAATTCAATGAGGAACAAAAAAGACCCTGGTTTCAAAGATACTACAGTCCAGTAAATGAGCCAGGCAATGAAGAGATATAAAATTTAACGTCAAGGGGCACCTGAGTGGCTCAGTCCCTTAAGCATTGACCTCGGCTCAGGTCATGATCTCATGGTCTGTGAGTTCGAGCCCCGCGTAGGGCTCTAACTCACGAACTGCGAGATCATGACCTGAGCTGAAGTCAGACGCTCAACCGACTGAGCCACCCAGGGGCCCCGCTTATTTTTATTTCGAGGAGGTGATATCTTAGCAGAGATTTGGATGAAGTGAGAGAAGCCATGTGACTATGCGATGGACGAAAATTACAGGGTTCAGTCTATAGAAAGAAGTAATAAGATGGGGGTAGAGAGCCTCACCAAGAAGTACGGTGGTTGATACAGTCTAAGGCAGAGTTTCTCAACCTTGTTGCTACTGACCTTTACCTTTGGAGACTGGTGATTCTTTGTTGTGGGGGCTTTGTTTTGTGTGCAATGTGAGATGTTTAGCATCAATCCTTAGCCTCTAACCCACTAGATGGCAGTAGAATCCTCCTCTCCCAGGTGGAGACTGAGCTAAACAATTTCCAACCCTACCAGTGCTCAGGAACCACTTGAGGACTGCATGCAAATCCTTATGCTGAGGCCCCACCTGCAGAGATTTGAGTTGATTGACCTGACCCTGGGGTGGAGCCCCGGGCATTTTTAAAAACTCTAGCCTAGGATGACAATATACAGCAGCCGTGGTTGAAAAACACTACTAACTCAAATTCATTAATGTCTTCCTGTCTCTCCCTGAAGCTGCAGGCTTATCCCTGAGGTATGCTTTTTCAGACTCAGGTGGAATTTCTGAAACCATTTAATTTTAAAAGTTTAGACCCTCTGCTCCTCCCAGGTGACAGGCAGCCAAATCTTGTGTGGTGCCAGTGGCGTCTCTGAGATGTGTGACTTTCACACAACGGTGAAGGTCAGAGTAAATGGATTTGAGTGTATTGGGCGTCTGGTCACCAGGTCTGCTTTTAACTCTGGTAAGGTGGATATTGTCACCATCAATGACCCCTTCACTGACCTCAACTGCATGGTCCACGTGTTGCGATGACCCCACCCAAGGCAAGCTCAGTGGCACAGTCAAGCCTTGTCATCAACGGAAAGCCCATGTCCATCTTCCAGGATCAAGAGTATCACATGGGGTGAACCCTGTGCTGAAGAAGTTGTGGAGTCAGCCAGCGTCCTCACTGCCCTGGAGAAGGCTGGGGCTCACTTGAAGAGTGGAACTAAGAGGGTCATTATCTCTGCCCCATTTGCTGACACGCCTCATGCTTTGTAATGGGTGTGAACCATGAGAATGAGGACAGCTCCCTGAAGGTCGTCAGCAAGGCCTCCCTTACCACCAACTACGTGGCCCCTCCAGGCCAAGGTCATCCATGACAACTGTGGCATCGTGGAAGGACTCACGACCACAGTCCCTGCCATCACAGCCAGCCAGAAGACCATGGACAGCCCCTCTGGGAAGCTGGGGCATAATGAGGGAGGGGCTGCCCAGAATAACATCCCTGCTTCTGCAGGGACTGTCAAGGCTGTTGGCAGACTCATCCCTGGGCTGAATGGGAAGCTCGCTCATGACCTTCTGTGTCCCCACAGCCAGCGTGGGTCCTTCTGAAGCTGTTCAGTATGGTGACATCAACAGGGTGGTGAAGTCAGCATCAGAGGGCCCCCTAAGGGGCATCCTGGGCAGCACAGAGCAGGGTGTCGCCTGCGTCTTCAGTAGGGACACCTGGTCTTCCACCTCTGTTGCCAGTTCTGGCACCACATTAGGCTCATTGCCTGGGACGATAGTAAATCTGACTGCAGTGTGGCCTCCAAGGCACAAAAGCCCTGGACCTCCAGCCCCAGCAAGAGCTCAAAAGGAAGAGAGAGGCCCTCAGCTGCCCCAATTCAGTCACCCGACACAGAGAATCTCCCATCCTTGATATTGTCCGTCCCAGACGCCCCGGAGCAGGGGAGAGTCATAGGGAGAGTCGTAGGGAGAGCTACTCGGTCGTGTGCTGTTAATACAGTACACTGTACCCAGCCGAAGTAAATAAATAAAATATAAAATATACAATACGATACAAAATTAAATGAATAAAGTATAAGTAAAACAAAAAAATTGTAGGGGCACCTGGGTGGCTCAGTTGGTTAAGCACCTCACTTAGGCTTGGGTCATGGTCTCACAGCTTATGGGTTCAAGCCCTGCATCAGGCTCTGTGCTGACAGCTCAGAGCCTGGAGCCTGCTTCAGATTCTGTGTCTCCCTCTCTCTCTGCCCCTCCCCCTCTTGTGCTCTGTCTCTCTAAAAAAATAAATAAAAAATATAAAAGACAAGGGTCGCCTGGGTGGTTCAGTCAGCTAAGCGTCCGACTCTTGATTTCAGCTCAGGTCGTGATCTCACAGTTCGTGAGTTCGAGCCCCACATCGGGCTCCGTGCTGACAGTGCTGAGCCTGATTGGGATTCTCGCTCTCTCCCCCCTCTCTCTGCCCCTCCCTCATACTCTGTGTGTCTCTCAAAATAAGTAAACTTAAAATATATACATATATATATGAGTATATAAAATATAAAATTAAATTTAAAATAAAAACTAAAATATAAAATAAAATAAAAATTTAAAATATGAAGTAAAATAAAGAAAACATAAAGTGTAGTGAAAC